GCCATGCGTACGGTGTTCTCGTTGTGCCCCCCCCCCCGCGCCTGCAGTCGTCACGATGACAAGAGAGCGTACTTCTGTATGGCCATGCGCACGGTGTTCTCGTTGTGCCCCCCCCCCCGCGCCTGCAGTCGTCACGATGACAAGAGAGCGTACTTCTGTATGGCCATGCGCACGGTGTTCTCGTTGTGCCCCCCCCCCCGCGCCTGCAGTCGTCACGATGACAAGAGAGCGTACTTCTGTATGGCCATGCGCACGGTGTTCTCGTTGTGCCCCCCCCCCCGCGCCTGCAGTCGTCACGATGACAAGAGAGCGTACTTCTGTATGGCCATGCGCACGGTGTTCTCGTTGTGCCCCCCCCCCCGCGCCTGCAGTCGTCACGATGACAAGAGAGCGTACTTCTGTATGGCCATGCGCACGGTGTTCTCGTTGTGCGTTGCCATCATGATTGCCACCTGCTGGAAGCCGCGGCCGCGCACATGCTGCATGCACGTGTCGACAACGCGCTCGTACATCGCGTTCGTCGCCTCATAGGTGGCGTTGATCGGGTCGACGTAGCCGAGCGACTGCGCCCTCGCGCGCTCCTGAAACGAACAAAGGTCGGCGGGGTCAAAGATCAGCAACCGGTGACCTCTGTCAAAGGTCGCGCTACGAGAACATCCACAAAGAATTTTGCGTTCAGTTGCGTTTGTATAAAAATTAAGTTTATCTCAGTTAGATCAATAATAAGTTATAATTACTTACAACGATGAAATTTTTGTCAATCTCTCCGATAGATTTCCTCGGAAGAAGTAATTAAAACTTATTATGGATCTAACTAAGATCAACTTTATTTTTATGTGAACTGTAGTAATCCGATGAAAGTATTCAATCAGTTGGATTGTTGGCAGCAGGTTACAGAGTTCGATTCCGGGGGGTTGCATCTGCTACGTGAGCTAGATTTACATTTACTGTTGTGTGAGCGAGGGATTCTGAATTTACTTGTTCTGTGTACATGTGGGTCACAAGAGTTTACTTGTTCTATGTAAACATGGGCTGTAGAATTATTTGGCCACTCTATGTAAGCAAAGGTTTCAGAATTGACTGCATTCTCTGTGAAAAAAATATTCGCAGAAATTAGACCTACTTTATGTAAATAAACGTTTCAGAATTTGCGTGTTTCGTGTAAGCAAGGTTTTTAGATTTCACCTGTTACATGTAAAGGCCGCCGCACACCTACATCGCTTCATCGCTTCATCGCTTCATCGCTTCATCGCTTCATCGTTTGTAAAATCGGCTCATCGGCTCATCGGTTCAAAATCAAACATGTTTGATTTGGAACGATCATCCGATAAAAATAAAATCGTCTACAAATGAACGCGCACACCTACCCGATATCGGCTGATTTCTATCGGGCCGATCAAATCGCGTGAAAAATCGGCTGGTGTGCGGCGGCCTTAAGCAAGCTGTTTATAATCTACCTGCTCCATGTAGGCACCGCGCACGATCTTTGCTCCAAAGTAGAAGTTGGAACGCTTGGCGAAATCAAGATCCATCTTTATACTGTCGTATGCACCCTGTCTCATGATAAACATAATCACGATCATGTCACACTATGTTTCTCACTTACAAAACACATATTCTGCCAATATATATTCTGCATACATATCCTGAATACATATTCTCAGGCGCGTATAATGACAAATGTCATTATATACATGTCAACATATATATAATGTCGACATATTTGTCATTATACGCTCCTGATATTCTGCATACATATTCTGCTAATATACAAGCACTAAGCGGTCACAAAATGACTCGAAGTAAAACGATATATGACAGCAAAGTGCACAGCACTGACATTGACACTGACACTGACTTCACATTTTTTCACTTCAAAAATAGAAACTACTTAGAAAGTATGAGTGAGCTTGATGTATCTAATATAACAAGACACCTGGCACCAGCGCGGCCAGGAAATATCATGAGAGTATGTCCCACTTGTGAGTTGAAGTTTTCCAACGTTCTATCAATCTTTCCATCAGATGTTCCAAGCTTTTAAGTTATCGACTGCGAGTCAGCAAACATTTCAACATTTGACCCGCAGTGTGTGTGCGGGGCGACGTAGATACGCATTTTTACATGTAAAATTCGCGCCACTGTGGCACCGATAGCAAAAACGCGCTCTCCCCCTGGGTGGAGGGACACGCCTGCTGACTGCTATTATAGGAGTGGCTGACTGGCAAATACTTGATCAACTCGCTGAACAAAAGTGGAAAAAATAGAACATGTTCTAATCTCTCAACTAGTTGCTATCACCTTATTGAGCACTCAAAGTTTACGTTTACATTGCCGATATTCGGTCGATTAGTCGATAAGTTTTTCAGCTTGTCAACTTTTTGCTGAAAAGTTGATAGCGTAAACCCAGCTTAACACATACATACCTTCAGGTAGCATTGATACATAGTGACTATCACATACATACCTTCATGTAACACTGGTACATAGTGACTATCACATACATACCTTCATGTAGCATTGCTATGTGTTGACCATACCAGCAGGCACCAGAGTTGACTATCACATACATATCTTTAGGTAGCATTGTTTTTACTATTGCAGACATACCTTCATGTAGCACTGCTATGTGTTGACCATACCAGCAGGCACCAGAGTTGACTATCATATACATATCTTTAGGTAGCATTGTTTTTACTATTGCAGACATACCTTCATGTAGCACTGCTATTTGTTGACTATCACATACATACCTTCAGTTAGCATTGCTATGTGTTGACTATCACAT